GGAACCAAATGACTAGATTGCTAGGGGACGACATAACAGGAGACCATACACACTTCCTAAGCACGCGCTGGAATCCAACAGGTCCTGTTCACAGAGCCTCTCTCTGCCAATGTCCAGCCTCACGCAATCTAAGTTTAAGAGGTGCTCACTTGCCAGCCTCTCTAACCATCAAAATCAGCTACAGCACGAGAGTAACAGGCTTCCCAAAAGTCAAGAACCCAATTAATTCTGGGATCACAGAAAAGGAAGCATGCAAGTGGGAGAAACTGGGGAAGGGGACACCAAAGTCCCCAGCTGGTTCAGCTCCATATGAGAACCCAACCCTGGGTCTTCTTTTTATAACACTTCCAGCCTCACTCTTTTGCTAGTGCGACTAGTGTCACTGGTGCGACAATATACATCAATGGTCCAGTGAGGTGCTTGGCACATGAGCCACGGTCAAAATGCACTAGTCCCCTTCCCATCCCATTCTGCACGGTCAGTTCCACCTACAAAGTCCACAGGCGCTTCAAGACTCGGATCAGCTCAATTCTTCCCCAAGGGCCTCTCTGAAGTGCTCCCATCCCAAATGACCTATTGCTAGAATAGGTGCCATACTAGGTGACACACGTCATCCTCGTCAACCTTCACAACGACCTTACGACACCCCTTTTATACAAGACAAGCCAAAGCTCTGAGAGGGGAAGTGACTCAAGGACACACAGCTAGGAAGCGGCAGGGGGGAGACACGAAGTAGGGGTGGTGGAAGGGGAGGTGGGCGGGGATGGGGGTGACTGGGTGACCGGCACTGGGGTGGGCACTTGAGGGGATGAGCACTGGGTATTATTCTATATGTTGGCAAATTGAACACCAATAAAAAATAAATTTATATATATATATAAAAAAAGGGAACCTAGGACTACGGAGCCCAACGTCAAGCACGTCCAACATTTCATTCGTGTCACCTGCGCTGGGCTTTGACCTGCCACTGACCATCTGACAGGTGTTCAGGAGACTCCCTAAGAAGACAACAAGCCTTGCCACCTTCTGCCCGGGCGTGATCCTGAATAGAGTCCTGCGTCGGGCTCCCCGCGTGGAGCCTGCTTCTCCCTCTGCCTGTGTCTCTCATGAATAAGTTAATTAATTAATTAATTAATTAATTCTTTAAAAAAAAAGAAGAGAACACGCCTGGCCTCCTCTCTCACTGTCCAGCGCCCCCCACATGGGCAGAGCGCTCGGATGACCACAGCTAACTTTAAGACAAGGTAGCGCACACGGATGATAAACTCCGCACGTGAAAATCGATTCGCGCTGTTGGGACTATGAGCCAAACAGCCTGGTGGGGACGGAGTTTCAGGCGGGCCATTGACTGAGCTCCGACCCGGGCACCCGTCGCAGACTCATCCTAACCCCAGACACCGGCTGCGCCCGAGCCGGCGACACGCGCCGCGTCCTGAGCTTTGCCGCAGACGCAACCCCGCAGGTCACAGACCCGGTCCCTGACGAGAGCCCTCAGGAGGCGCTCCCGTCGGCCGTACCTCCGCAGCACCATCGGATCGTGACCGCGGGCCGCTCCGAAGGCCCTGACCTACCCCGTCCCGGGCACACCGACTCGTTCACAGCAGCCCCCTCCCCGCCCCGGGTCTCTAGGAGGGATACCTCGCCACGTCGCCTTTACCTCAGCGGCGGCACCAGTCGCGCGCACCCATCTGCAGGTCGCTCCGAGAACGCGGAAGAGGCGGTGCTAGAGCCGAGGGGCGGGCCCGGCCGGAGGGGGCGGGGCCGCGCGTGCGCCCTGGTGGCTACGTCCCGGGAAGGGACGGGGGGAGGGGGGAGGGGGGAGGGGGGGAGGGGAGGGCCAAGTAAACTGGGAAGACGCGCGGGAGCCGGGCGGGGAGGCCGCCGGGGCGGGGTGGTCGCGGGCGGGGTGGTCGCCGGGGCGGGGTGGGCTGGCTGAGTCCGGCTCCGAGCTGGTGGCGTTTTCAAAGTGAAAGTCGGGAAGTCGGGGAAGCGCCAGGCGGGAGGCGGCCTAGCAGCGGCAGGTGTAATTACCATTTACCTAGAGCTTCCGTGACCTAGGATGGAATTTTTAAAGTGCCTTTTGCACGTGGGGAAATGCTTCCAGTCTTTCCTAAAACGGGGGCTAATTCTGTAAACTTTCAGACGTTTGGGGCAGCCCGGGTGGCTCAGCGGTTTAGCGCCGCCTTCAGCCCAGGGCGTGATCCTGGATCGAGTCCGGCATCGGGCTCCCTGCGTGGAGCCTGCTTCTCCCTCTGCCTGTGTCTCTGCCTCTCTGTCTCATGAATAAATAAAGTCAAGCAAGCAAGCGAGAGGAAGGGAAGGGGAGGGGGGGGGGGGGAGGAGAGAGAAGAGAGAAAGAAAGGAAACTTTCAGACGTTTGTGTACCTAGCATTTTACTGTAAAGGGTTTCCTTGAGTAGAGCGTTACTCCCAGTAGTTCAAAATAAAACACTTAAAAGTTCATTTCTTGGGGAAAATTAATATTTTAACTGCATTCACATTACTATTTCAACCAGCCCCCAGCCCTCCCCAGGCTGCAAGTGTAATGAGGGAATGCGAGTGCTGACTTGGGTTTAATTCAGGTCCTGACTCTTCAGTGTGTTTCCTCCTTATTGAAATGGAAGTAAAATCTCCCTTCCCTGTCTCAGGACTGTTGTGTGGGGGTGGTCAGCACCGCTAGTTAAAAGCCTCTTGAGACTTCCATCCCACCATCGTGATAAAGCTTTGTTCCTTTCCTCTTCTGGGCTCAGTCTTCGCATCTGCATGATGGAAGGAGGTTTGCAACAGGAGAGAACAATCAGGGATTTGCTACATTTCTCAGTCTGAGTGAAGGCTGGACAGGGAGCGTTCTCCCAAGCTTCTGTGTTGAGTCACAGAATCCCGCAGTCCAGCCCGAAGGCCCCTGTATATCCTAACCTCTCCCACCCATCACTTTCTAGGCTCCTCAAGCTTCATGTCCTCAGTGGCCATGCCGACCTGTTCCTCTCTCTCTTCCCTGAATATCTCACTAGCCAGCTGGTCCTGATCTCTCAGGCCTTTGTTTCAGTCCAGTTTTTCAAAATTGCTATGTCTCTATGTTCATGGTGACCAAGTTCAGTTAATACTAGGTGAAGGCTCTGAAGGGCTCTGAGAAGGAAGGGCTCCAGGAGCGCTCCCTAGTCAAGTGGACCTCCAGCCACACTGTGGCTCCCTTCCCCACGCACTACAAACAGCTCCCAGGGGTGGGAGAGTGGGCATGGCAGCAGGAAACCTCACAGAAGAAGCTACGGCGTTCACCAGGGCCAATGTCATGCCTCTGCCCCAAAATGGGGAGAGTGCCTTGGTTCCTCCTCATTCCTTGCTCTAAATATTTTTATGGATCTTGAACAGTCAGGAAAACAAAGCCTTCTGCAGTGGCTGCCCAACCAAACTGCCCCTCTACCCCTAACACGTTGCCTCTCACAAGACCCTCTCCTGCTCAGTCCCACCCTGTGCGGTGGGGGAAATGCTCCCTGCTTTCCTCTGGTCTGCATCCTCCTTTTCCCCTACCTCTGTCCAGTCTTCTCTGAGCATCCCTCTCGGAATTCCTCAAAGCAGTTTTGTGATGTCTTCCTGATGTATTCAGACATTCCCATGATAAATGCGGGCCTTGGCCACACAGTCCTGAGATAAATTTACTTTCTCTGCCATGGTGTTTTCCAAAAGAATTAAGAGCCCAGACACTGAACTTTGAGTCTGAGCTGTCCAGTCATTGAGGAGGTAGTGGGTGACCTGTCACAGGAGGTGTGCAAGCAGAGGCACGTTTTAGAATGCTGGCTGGGCCTCCTCTGGTGAGCCCAAAGAAGGAGCAGCAGAGTGGAGGGCCTTCCAGATAGTACAGCAGTGAAAGCAGGGATACTGGGCACCAGGAAGGGAGCCAGGCAGCTAGCCAAAGACAGACTTGATTTGGTAAGCTATTACATGTCATGCATTTAGAACTGTGCCTGGCACTTAGTATTAGCTATTACTCTTATGATTGTGAATGATCCACAGACTGTGAGTAATAAAGGAGCTCAGAGATAAGTCAGTCTCTTACTCCCACACCTGGTCATGAAACAGACTGGGAAATCAAAGTCTAGAGGGAAAAGAGGCCCACCATCATACCTCAGGGACCGGGCTGGGACTGGACTCCAGGCCTCTGCCTCCCAGGAGGGCCACTGCACAGAGCCGGGCTGTCTCCTCTCAGGGAGAGGAAAGAGCTCTAGGTGGCCCTTTGCTGACTAGTCTGGGCAGCTGGTAGGTAAGAGACAGTGGAATGACAGCAAGTCCTTAGCTACAGGCTCAGCTGTCTCCTGAGGAATAAGCTCAGAGGTCAGCCCCATGTCTTTTTTTTTTTTTTTTTATGATAGTCACAGAGAGAGAGAGAGAGAGAGGCAGAGACACAGGCAGAGGGAGAAGCAGGCTCCATGCACCGGGAGCCCGACGTGGGATTCGATCCCGGGTCTCCAGGATCGCACCCTGGGTCAAAGGCAGGCGCCAAACCGCTGCGCCACCCAGGGATCCCTATGTCTTGCCACCCCCACTCTGAGCTCTAGCCAGCAGCCAACAAACAGCCTTTTCTTGAGAAGAGCTTCCTTTTCTATGATTAGGGTTAGGACTGTATTTTTGCTCTGTGCCTTGGCCCATTAGCTCCAATAAACCACCCAGACTAAGAGGGTGAGGTGAGCATAGCCATGCCAGGGAACCTGAACTGAAACAAGACTCCCAAGACACTGAATTCCCTGAAGGCAAGGGCCAGCCCTCCCTACTCCGGGGGTCCTAGACTAGGCCAGAAATTCTTGGTCCAGAATTCCCAGAGCCCTGGGAAAACTTTGGTGTCTCCACCCTGGAGAGCTAAACCAGACATGACCACACCAGCCAGCCCTCCACATGGCCTGGGATCTCAGGACAAAAAGCCCTCCCTTCTCCATTCTGGCCCAGTTCCCTCCATAGCTTGCCAAGGAGCCATGTGGCACCCAGACCACAGCTTCCCACCAATGTCGCTTTAGTTTGCCTCCTTTATTTTACCAAAAATAACAATAATAAACTCTTCCCTCTGTTTCACAAAAATAGATTTCCCGTCTCCCACCCCTTCCCAGTGAGCACTGGCCGCAGCCTAGAACCCATCTTCCAATCTACAGGGAATCTGAGGGAATCTCTGACCCCTGGACCCCACCGCACCCCAAAGCCTCTGGCAAAGCTGCTGGGTCAGTGTTTCCCTTGGGAACTTCTCCAGAGGCAGCGGTCCCAGGTCCAGCTGGCAGGCCCCAGGAGCCCCATCTGCTTCTTCAGAGATCAGCCAGCTGCAGGGCCACGGAGAGGGGCATAATTTTGGAGGCTTGGCTCAGGATACAGCTCCAGCAGACCCGAGGGGCTGTGGGGCACTGTGGCATTCATGAGAAATCCTTGCTCAAAGCAGGAACAGTTGTGCCCTAGAGAGCGGCTGTCAAGCCCTTCTTCCCCATGCAGCTCATATCCCTATGCAGCAATCCACATGCTCTGGGGTGGGAGTCAGGACTCCTGGTTTCTACTCCAGCTCCACAAAAGCCTTGCTGTGTGAGCTTCGGCTTCCTCCTATGTACACAGATTTTTCTGTAAGACTGGATGATCCTCAGGGATCCTCAAGCCCTTTCTGGCTCTCCATCCTGGCTCTCCATCCCCTGCCTCAGTTTCCTCACCTGTGGGTCTGGGCACAGGGCTGCACGTGGCAGTGTGGCGTAATGGAGTGTCAAACGAACATCCTAGGTTCTCTGTGGACAGCTATCCAACCAGCTGGAATGTCTCGGGGATGGCTGGGCAGGAGGCAGGTCCTTGCACAATGGGGGCTTTCCAAGCTTGGAAGAGTCCATTCACTAGCAATACGTCTTCACTGCCCTGGGATGGGAGACAATTCTCTGGGGTTTCTGAATTCAAGTTCACTAGCTCCTTGGTTTGGAGGATTATCTTGTGCTGGGCTTCAGATCCTGAGAGCCAAGTCTATAGATTCCGGGAGCTAGACTGGAGTGTATGATTCCCACTTTAAGGACCAGAGGACCTATGTGGACATAAGGGATAGTCCCCAGCCCTCAAGAGGCTGTCTATAATCAAACTTTCCTGGAGGCAGAAGGATGAGTGAAATGACAGCTCCTGGGCATCTCCGGGTGAGCAAATCAGAATCTCTGTCTGTGGGGGGCCAAGGATTTAGGTACTCAGGGCAAGACTCCCTTCTTATGTTCCTTTGCTCCCCAGAACTCATGCTTATGGAAGATGGTAGCCTGAAAGTTCAAATACAGAGCTACATCTACATCATATTTTGTGCACTTACACACGTGGTCAGACACACTGAGTGGGGGCACTGACCTGTCGTCACTCCTACAGTGGTCATGGTCTGGTGGTCTCAATCCCTACTTCCTTCCTTTCATTCAACCACTGACCTAACACATAGGGAGGGCCTACTATGTACCAGGGAGGGTACAGCAGCCAGCTCTTACACACATACCCCACAGTGAGAATCACACACTCACAGAGAGTCATCTGCACTTATTCACACACAGCTTGCTTCCGCTCTTGTATGTTTCTTGCTAACTCAGCCACATCCACATTCCCCACATAGGCGTGGGAACCACCACCAAAGGGGTAAGTCCTGGAGCAGAACCCTAGCCTATTGCACCCTTGGACATCACGTGGAGATGTAGCTCCTTCTTTCCTTCTGTTTGCCCACCTTTTGCTCTCCCCTTCTCCATCCATAAGCAGTCAGGGGGCATGTGGGCAGATGCCAGAGAACCACAAGTCCAGGGGCTCTGTGTGTGTGGAGGGGTCCCAGGGACTTCAGGGTCCTCTACCACCAGACTCCTGAGGGTCCCCTCCCCAGTGACTCTGTGTTCAGATGGTCCATCTGACAGGCAGCGACTCCAGGCTTGGGCTCAGTGACAGATACGCTCTGTCATCTCCCTCTGCAGAGACATAAGGTAGCAAGGGGTCACTCAGAGCTCAGCCTACCAGGCAGCCCCTTCCCAAACCACAGGGCCTGGCTGTTGCTCTGCCTAAACCTGGCGTCTTCCCACGCAGCCCCCTGCCCACCCCAACTCCAAGCTGTAGATCTGAGTCTCTAAACTGAGACTTGAATGAATTCTCTATTAAAGAATCCACTGTTAAATGAATTGCCTTCCCCTAATTTATCAATTTGGGTATTGGATTTTCTGCAAGTAGGCAGCCTTCGGATCCGGAAGCCCTGAGGTCAGCCCCAGGAGGGGAGGGCAGCAGGGGCCTGGCCTCACCAATGGTTCCAGCTCCCGCTGGTCCACCAGGCTGAACTCGCGGATGAAGTAGTAGAAGTGCTTGTAGCAGGTGTTGACGTGTGCTTCGGCCCCCATGCCGAGGATGCTGTCGAAGTGGTGGATGTAGACGTGGACAAAGACCCGGAAGAGGCGGGTCAGGATCTTGGTGCAGACCTGCTGGAAGTTCTTGGGGAAGGGAACTCCTAGGGGGCAAGGATGGGCAGCAGTGAGGAGATCAGCATCCTGGCGGTGAAACGCTGCCCAACCCTGCCCTCCCCGCCACAGGCAGCCTTCACCCAGGACGGCCACTGCCCCGCAGCAGACAGGGAGACCAAGGTCTGCTTTCTTCCCACTTCCCTCTTTTGTTTGTTTAAAGATTTTATTTATTTATTTACGAGAGAGAGAGAACAAGCAGGGGGAGCAGCAGAGGGAGAGGGAGAAGCGGACTCCCTGCTAAACAGGGAGCTTGATGTGGGCTTTGATCCCAAGACCCTGAGTTCATGACCTGAGCCGAAGGCAACCACCTAACTGAGTGAGCCACCCAGGCACCCCTCCTTGCTTCCCTTTTAAGCAAAGCACAGATCTCACTATGCCTCTCCTCCCCTGCTGAAATACAAATAATCTCCCACATTTTCCTATCACCCAGAGCAGGACTCTGCAACCATGTTGGGGTCACTGACCAACCCTTCTTTGACTTTGATGAAAGTTTTGCCCAAATTCTCCACAGAAATATGTGCATCTGCAGGTGCTGCCCCATGACATCTTGGATATAGTTCTAAGGTGAGTTTATCAACATCTACAGTCCATTTTAAAAAACACAGGTCTGGGATCCCTGGGTGGCACAGCGGTTTGGCGCCTGCCTTTGGCCCAGGGCGCGATCCTGGAGATCCGGGATCGAATCCCACGTCGGGCTCCCGGTGCATGGAGCCTGCTTCTCCCTCTGCCTGTGTCTCTGTCTCTCTCTCTCTCTCTCTGTGACTATCATAAATAATAAAAAAAAAAAATTTAAAAAACACAGGTCTTCAGGATTAAGTTCTAACTTCGCAGCATGGTGGCTGCTCAAAGCCTTTCCATGATCTGACCCCAGCCTCTTCCTCCAGCCCCATCCCAACTCTTTCCTCTTCATAGACTCACACAGCAGGCCCCAGATCCCTAATTCTGAGAATTACAATCTCCTTGAGAACTAGTTCAGGTCCCTCTCATCCCTTCAACTACACAGTAACACAAAGAACCTTCCAAGTTTGAGCCGGGCTCTGTGCTGGATCCTCTGCATCTTTTGCCTCATATGATATGGGATAGCCCTTCCAGATATGATGATAAAATAGAAGTGTATGATGGCAACGCCACTTGCCCAAGGCCATGCTATTAATTAGTACAGACTGGAGGCCAATTCAAATGCTGTTGGCCCTGCACTGCAGCAACCCACAGAGATAACACCACAGCTCCTGCCCAAGGGAAGCTCCAGCATCTGTGAAAAAGGCATAGTTTTTGCACAGTGCCCCACGCTCAGGGTAGAGATCTTGGTGAGTATGCCTTCTTCTCTGCTGTGGCAGAGCCATCCCCAGGATTAAGGCAGACACCTGGGGTCTCCCAGGCCTGGAGGTTAAGACTAGAAGGTAGTAAGAGCCCAGACACAGGCCCACATTTGTGCACCCTGCTCCATATGGGTCCTCACGGCACTCAGATAGGGCTGAGCCCTGCCTCTCTGTGAGCCCTTCCACGCCCAGCTCAGGCTCCTCAAACTTGTCCTGCTCATCTAGACTTGCGGCCCTGGACCCCGACAGACCCACACTGCAGTTCCGAATCTCTGATTCAATGCGCTGTTCCTCTGTTGGCCTCGGTTCCTCCTATGGTTAATGCAGGTGTCCACTGCTGGGCATGATAATGCAGGAAATGGCAGGCCCCTAGATGGGGAGGGGCTGTGAGCACTGAATTGTGAGTCATTGCCCAGCCTCTCTCAGTATTCAGACTTCTCCCCTCTGGGCTTGCCCACTCTGCCCCACCCGTCTCTGATTCCCATAGCCTTAACCTAGAGGAAGAGGAGGCTGGGGGGGGGCAGGGGGAGGGGTGTAGGGGTGGGGGTAGGGATGCCATGATGAATACAGTGTCATGCTCAGCACCTGGGCCCATGCCCCCTCTTGCTGCCCTTGGGTGGGAAGCCAGTGTGCTTTACTCATCTCCTCTTGCCACCCTCGCGGGGCTGCCCAGCTGAGATAAGAGAAGGCCCCACGGCTTGGGCCCGACAAGGAAAAATTCTGCTCTCAGAACCCTCTGAGGTTGAGATACAATCTGGCCCTCCCAATCCCCACCCCCTTCCCTTTCCTGGAGCCAAGAGTCAGAGGTAACGGGGCTGCAAGTCAGTCAACCCAGGAAGGGTGACAGGCTAGGAGGACCTAGAGGCATCTCTTCAAGAAGGTTCCAAGAATCATAGTGGTCTTGCCAGGGTGGCTCCTGGAGGCACATTTAAGCTTCAGATAAGAAGAATCCCAAGTTGAGAGGCAGGCAGTCCTAGCTCAAGATGCCTGATCTTGAGCAGACACTTAACCTCCGAGCCTCAGTTTCCTCTTCTACAAAATGGGGATGAAACCCATGCCCCCCCTCCAACCCCAACCCCAACCCCTTACAGAATCACTATGTTAAACTAAATGCGTCATCTGTGGAATGGGTTCTGGTGGCTCCCTCCCTCCCCGGCTGGCCAGGTGGCACTCACCAACGCGAGTGGGAAAGACGTCCTCGTCGTTGATGAGGCCCTCGATCCAGTCCATGAGCAGGGCCATGTAGCGCGGTGCCGACAGCTTGGCGGGCCGCCGGTACTGGCGCTCGTCCTGCCAGCGGTACTCGTAGCGGGGCCCCCCGGCCATGACAGGGCAGCTGGTTTCGCTGCAGCGCTCGGCCATCGTGCCGTAGATGAGGTTGATGCGATTGAAGAAGTCTACCACGTGCACTGCGATCCAGTCGTCGATGCTCTCCCCCGGCGGCAGCCTCACCACACTGCGCAGGTCCAGGCCCGACTTGAGCGAGGCCTGCGCCTTCTTATATAGCTCAAAGCGCTGTGTGCCTGGCTCGAAGCGCTTCCGAGGCCGGAACGTCTTGTCCTTGGCGAACACCTGCTTCAGGCACAGCGCCATGGCCCGGCTGGGCCGAGGGCCAGGTGTCCAGGGGCAGGACCTATGGATGCCCTGCCAGGGCCAAGGGCACAGAGAGAGCGTGGTGGTCAGGTCCTCACCAAAAGGCTTTGACTGCCCAACACGTCACTTCCCTCACACCCTCAGCTTTGGGCCAGCCTCTGCGGCCTTTGCCCGGAGTCTAGATCCTCCGGAGCCCCTAGGGCCGGGCCCCTGCCCTGCCTCCAGGCCCCCCTGCCTCCCTCTGCCAAGCAGACACAGCCCTTCCATCTCATTTTGTTTCCTCTCCCCTCTCACTGCATCTCACAGAGATCTGGGCCTGGGCTCCAAAGAGGTGCTCATCTGTCTTCTTGTTGACCATTAGAGAGGTGGCGGGAGCTTCCTGCAGGCCTGCCAAGAGGCAGGGGCCTGGATGAAATGACCTCAGGGGCACCCCATGGGCCAGCTGATGCAGCGTGGGAGAGCCTGGCTGCATTGTGCTGGGGGTCGGGGCAGTGGCAAGGCTCCGCCTTCAGCTTCCTATGGGATATCCCGTAGTCCATCCGGCCACCGGGGATTCCCAGGGAGCAAGAGGGACTTTTCTACCAAAAATGTACTTTCCTTTTATTACCCCAAAAGAGGAAAGGGCCCTGATATGGCCAGCTGGGTGGCCTCTGAGTGGGGCTGCAGGCGCTGGAGGAGAGGGGGAGGTGGCAGGTCCAGATGGGTGCCACTTCCTCTGACAGTGGCTAGAGATCCTTCCCCACCAAGCCAGCCTCCTCCAGCCCCAAACCAGAACAAACCACTGGCCTCTCCTCCTGCACCTGATGGTACATGTTCTGAGTACCTACTACGTGCCTGGCACCAGGAGGTGGGAAAAATACAATGAGATCTACCCAGCTGCGCCTATTAGAATTCAGACAAATTTGCTATGCCTCTTAAATGGAGGCATCTCAGAGTCAGAGCAGACTTTGGAACAACAGTCAGAGCCCCAGGCTTGGAGGCAGGAGTCCTGGATTCTAGTTTCACCTCCACCATGGCTGGTGACCACTGTAACAGGCATGAGTCTGGCCCATACAATGTCCTGGGTCATGCAGATAGAGGCCAGGTTTCTGGGACTCATGTGGTAGTCATCTCACCTGCCCTATGGGTGTGTGAGCCCTTGGGAAAGGTGGCCTCAGGTACCCGCTGAGACCAGAATTTAGGGCTAAGCCTGAGTGTAGGCGAAACACTGAGCTGTGGTTCCAAGCTGACCTCTGACCTGGCCCTGACCCTGATCATCTGAGTCCTGACTCTAGTCCTAGACTGAGGCTGAATACAGCCACAAACAAAGCCTTGCCTTAACCTCAGAGCTGACACTGGAGCACTGGAGCACTGAACTTTCTAGAGTCTCTAATAATGCTCAGGGAGGATGGGGGGAGAAGGAGGACAGGAACAAGGTGATAGTTGGAGGAAGGTGACATGTCAGGCAATAAGCCAGGCTGGTAGAAGAGTCTGGAACAAGAATTCTTCCTTGTACTCACAACAAGCAGGCCAGGATGGGGATGGTTAAGTGAATGACAAGTGTTTGGCAAGTAGAGGCAGGTCGCCTAGCAGGATCTTGTCCTCTTGAAAAAAAAATCCCTCAAAGATGTAGAAAGTCATGTCATTCATTCCTTGATCCTCGACTTCTACCCAAGGAAGTCCCTAGTGTGGACACTGAGTTCCCTGACTCCAGAACAGATCTCCACACTTCACATGGCACCTGTATTCCAAATTCTGCTTGGGTTGAATGCTTCCAAAATCACTCCCACTGCGAGAGGGGGGTCCTGGTTGTCCTACTTTACACAGCACCCTCTACTGACACTTACCAACAGACCCCCACCTGGATCACCTCAGCCTATCTTCCCTGCCCACTTCCCTCCACCAACCACAGGGGGCTGCTACTTGATCCCCCAGCCTGTCCCCACACTCTTGCCTCTGTGTGTTTTCTTACACTGGTCTCTCTGACTCTGCAAGGTCAGGTTGAGTGGCATCTCCTCCCACAGCCCCCTCCACTGAACCAAGATGTCTTTTTCTTTGGGTGAAAGGTGCTCTTTTGGCTACTGCTGTCCTCCCCTCCAGCCCAGGTCAGGGACTGGCATACGGTTGATGCTCAGGCTTTAAGTAAAGCTTGGAATCAAGAACTGCAGAGTTGTAAGAGCCCTGAGAAATCAACTGACCAACCCACTTCTTGCACAGATGGGGAAACTGAGGCCCTCTTTCTGAGCAGCCACCGTTCACAAAGCAAGTTACTGGCAGGGGATCTCCAATGGCAGAACTGGGAACTGGGAGAAGGTGGGTTCAGCCTATCACTAAGAGGAAAGGACTATTTTCTTGTGCTGGGTGGTCACTGGTCTGGGGGAGGTAAGGGGGAAAGAGGGAAGCAGAGAGAGAGGGGAAGCAAGATTCCCATCAATTAGACCCACCCCATTCCTGTTCCCCCAACATGCTGAACCTCCCCCAACCCCCCCCCCCCCCAGCACCTTGAGTGTCCAGACCAGTGAGCTAGACTTCGGGAAGGGGAAGGGGAAGGGGAAGGGGAAGGGGGACTTTACACAAGCCGCATGCCACTTGTCTCTTCACTTTCCACTCCCGTGTCCTTACTGGCTTTCCTTCCCTCCCTGAACTACGGCCACTTGGGCCCCTTAGCGCCGGGGCCCTGACTCTGGGCGGCTCTTGCTCCTAAGTGCCCCGGGTGCCTCACTCCCTCGGTGGGCAATCGGCTTCCCAAGCCAGGACCACGGGCGGCCCGGCCCGTTCCAGGGCCACACCTGCCACTCCGCGGGCCGCCCCCCCCTAGGAATCAGGCCGCAGCGTCCCCGCGCGGGGTGCGGGCGCCCCGAGGGCCGAGAGCCAGGAGGAAGGTGGACGTGGGGTCCCACCCCCTCCACCCCCGGCCGCGCCGGGCCCCCGCCCCACTCGCCCAGAGGCCGGCCGGCGGCTCTAGGACCCGGAGGCGCAGGCCCGCTTCCGCTCCGAGTCACGCCCCCCGCCCCCCCCGCCCCCCCGCCCCCCGACGAGCTCGGACCCCGACCGCGCGCCGCCGCCCGCCCGCCTTGGGGCCGCCCTGAGCGTGGCGGCGAGGCCGGGCCGACCGGGCGCGGGCGCTCACCCCGGGGCCGCTCGCTCCTCCTCCGGCCGTGGGGCCGCCGCCTCCTCCGGGTCCTCGGGCCGGTTCTCTCGGCCGCGGGGCCGCGGTCCCCTCCGCCCCCGCGGCGCCGCCGGCCCCGCCCCCCCGCCCCCCGCCCCGCGGCGCCGCGGCCCGGGGGGGCGGGACAAGGGGGCCCCTCCCAGCGCTCGCGCGCCCGCCTTTCCGGGAAGTCGGCGGCGTCCGGCAGCTTCCCTGCGGACGAGGCCCTGAGCCGCCGGCCCCGCCGACCCCGCCGCGCTCCGGCCTCGGCTTCCCGGGCTGTAAAGTGGGCGCGGAGCCGCGCCGCGTGGAGCGCACCGGGGGCCGCCGGTGGGTCCCCGCCCCCAGGCCCCGAGCTCAGCCAGGGTCGGGGCTGCCCTCCACCCGAGCCCCCAGCTCCTGGCGCCTGGCACCAGGACGCACTCGATGCCCACCTGCGCTGGGGCGCGCGGGCGGGGTCCCTCACCCAGCCCGTAAGGACAGGCCCTGAAGAAGGCCAGGTGACCCTTCCGCCCCCGACCACCGACCGGGGCTGGGCTCTTCGCCCAGGCTGCGCGGACTCTCCTCACCCCTCACCCCTCACCCTCACCCCTCACCCCGTTCCCCCCGCCAGGCCTTTGTTCCAGCTCTGCCCAGTTTGGAAGATCTTTTTTACCTCCTTCCTTCCAACCAAAGCCAAACCTTTAAGACCTGGTCTGCTCTCTCTCTACTTTCCAACTTAGGTTCCTCCCCTGAGGGCAGACAGGTGTCCCAAACCAGTACTCAAGGTGCTGTGGCCCCCAGGCCCGGAGACCCGGTGGCTGACTCCGCCCGGGGGTGGGAGGGAAGGCTGGAGGCCGTCTAGGGTGGGAGGAGCGAGATGGGCTCCGGCAGTCCCGGCGGAGGGGGCGGGAGGCGAGCGGGTGGGGTGGGGGCGGGGGCGGGCCCCCCCCCCCCCCCGGAGGTAGGCATCTACAGTGGCCCTGATGCCCCACCCGGCTCCCCTTGTGTCTGGATCTTCTGTTCGCTTGACGGCCTGAGAACAGACTGAATCCTTAAGAATCCCAGCTCAGAACTGAGGATTCAATCTTCTGTTAAGCACCTATATTTGTCCCGGTCTAAAGTCTAAAGTTCTCTCTTCTTGATGTCTGAATCTTCACTCTGCCCCAAATCCCCTATAAGACAATCATATTGCTGACTTAATCAATACCCTGTCTGGGCGCTGAGGGCAGAAGATCAGGTGATGAAGCACGCCCAGCTACTGACCTCAGGTGCTGACAAGTCAGCAGTAGGGACAACGCACAGAGGGAGAACGCAAGGTCGGAGCTCCGTCATCCAGCGGTGAGAACACTGTTCTGGACTGCTGGCCAGCGCTTCGAAAGAGTGGGGTTATCCACGGGAAGTTCGTGGAAACTCAGACTGGGCACTCTGCGGAGAGTTTAAAGAAAGCATCGTTTACAGGTGTAGTCAGGGTGCAGGGCGACCACAGTGGTGGCATATCACCAAGGACTAGCAAGAGCAGCCCTTTGCTAGCTACCCTGGGCGGAATCTGTCAGCCTGACTGAGGGGGTGCTGGGACAGGGTGGTGAAAGTGGGGGCTATGAGGAGGGGGCTACTGACAGCAGCTGCAGCCTATGCTTGCCAAGCACAGCCAGCTCGGAGCAATCATGGTGCCAAGGACTGGGGGGCAAATCCCACGGAAGCCCTGGACAAAGGAACCTCTGTGCAGCCCATAGATGTGGGCATTCCCCTACGGCTGGAGGGAGGAGGATGCAGAGTGTAGCTGGACGGGCAACAGAAGGTAAATGCTTGGCACGTGGGCCCAGAGACTGTGACTTCATAAAGGAAATGGAAACTGCTTATGCTTTCCTTATCATTTCAGTTCTAAATATTTCGAAATTTCATTGTCATTTCCTCTTTAACTCATGGATGATTTACAACTATGGTTTTAGTGTCTCAGCCTATGGGAGGCTTATATTTTTCTTCTTGACTTCTAATTATATTGCATTGTGGTCAGAGATCATGGTCTGTAAGATTCTGTGGAATGTGACATGACTCCTCCTGTGGCTTTGAACATGGTTATTTGCTGTCCCTCTGAGCTGGGTTTTATAGGATGGGCAGGAGCTTGCCTGGTGAAGAGTGGAAAGCACAGGACCTTCTGTTGTGGGAGATATAAATGATCCATTTTGAAGGTATTTCAGAAGTTCCCAGCTTATCCACATTGCTCCCTGGTGTCTGCCTTAATACAAGCTGATAGGCTGGCAGGTGGGATGGGAGGCAGATGGAAGGGCGGAGGAAGCCAGAGATGACCCAAATCCCTCAAACACCTGTATGGCTCTCAGTTTAGGCAAGAGAGACTGTCCTTCCAGAAGGCTCTGCTGGGACTAAGACCCAGACCTTGGGACTCCTGGGTGGCTCAGTGGTTGAGCGTCTCTGCCTTCTGCCTGCCTTCCCCGGGTCCTTATCAAGTGCCGCATAAGCTCCTCGCTGGGAACCTGCTTCTCCCTCTGCCTATGTTTTTGCCCCCCTCTCTCTCTGTGTCTCATGAATTAAAAAAAAAAAAAAAAAAAAAAAAGACCCAGACCTTGGAGAACAAGGTCCTGGCTATACGACACATTAGCTGCCGTCTCTGATGGCATGCTATAACCCTACAGGACAGGCACTGGTCCCTGCCACTGTGTCCTGAGTATAAGTGGTTCAACTAAGGCCCTGTTTTTGAAACCTTAGGAGTCACTAAGGATCTAGTGGAGGATGCACTCTCTTCCATCACACAGCCTGGGTACAGGACTCCTCTATGAGAGCTCCAAGTGGCCGCTGGGTTGTGTCTAGACCTGGGCACCGTCCTGCTGTGTGTGTCTGGGAAAGTCTACTTTCCCCATTTGTACCACAAAATGGTTTCAGCCACACCATTCCAAATACCTTTTCAGGACCAACCCTCTGCTCCTGCCCCCAAAGGCCTGCACCCAGTTACTCTACCGATAGAGTGACCTCTCCCTGGGGACTCCCCAGCCCCTCCTATGCCAGGAAAGCTGCCCTCATTTCTATACTCCTCCCAGACTGAACTACAGTCCCCTGCAGCTCACCCCACCAGGTATCCAGCAGCTCCTGTAGCCTGATGGCACCCACAGTCCCCTCATTCTCCCAAGAAAAAGTTTCTATTTCAGCTTCTGCCCCTCCCTGCCCAGAAGGCAAGATCTCTGATCCTGAGTCTTTCATCCTGGCACAGTGAGGAAAAAAAAGTGAGGGATACGTCATAGCAGTAAGAGGAATTGAGCTTAGACTTCCTTTAGCTTGAGGAAGACAAGGCTCAAGGGAATGTGACAGAGGAAGCCAAGGTTGAAAAGGTGATAGTCCTTGTAAACTGCAGAAAGCTGTAGCCAGTCTTTTGGGGGGTGCTGCTGTCAAGCCTCCAGCAGGCTTTTATGTAGAGGAGGGGTTGCACTTGTCCCTGTGGTCCTGGAAGGCAGGGGGCAGATATCCATCAGAGCTGTCCAACCACACAGGCTGGCCGGGCTCCCCACCCACCCTTGGAGTGGGAGGCATAGTGTGTGCATATGGGCCTTGGGACAATTTCACAGCCCTCTGCCCTGCCCCCCAACATGGATCTGATAGACATAGCCCCCTCCCCTAGGTGCACACTGTCCAACCACTGGGGTTAGTTTCCGGTTAGTTCCCAGGGGAGGTAATAGTAAAGGGGGGGGTGGGGAGTTCACCAGTGTCTTAGGTTCAGCCTTCCATAGAGCCCACCACAAAGCCTGCACAGGAAGTTCTATCCAACCCTACTTGTGATGGACAGCAGATCAGTGGCTGCTAGGAGTTAGAGTTGGGAAGGAGAATGTGACTCTAAAGACATAGCGCAAGGGACTTCCTCTGGGTTACAGACCCGTATCTTGATCGTGGGTTCATAAACCTATATGTGCTGTAAAATCCCATAGAACTATATACAAAAGAAGAAAAGAAAAATGCATTTAAAAAACTGATAAAATCAAAATAAAGTCTGTAGTTTTTTTGTTTTTTAAAGATTTAATTTATTTTATTTGAGGGAAGGGCGAGGCAGAGGGAGAGAATCTCAAGCAGATTCCGAGCTGAGCAGGGAGCCAGATGCGGGTCTGAATCTCAGGACCTGAGATCATGACCTGAGGCAAAACCAAGTCAGCCCCTTAACCTACTATCCATCACCCAGGCGCCCCTAAAGTCTGTGGTTTTAATAGCATTATACTAACATCAATTTCCTGGTTGTGATCCTTAGTGTGGTTACATAAGGTGTTGTCACTGGGGGACATGGGGGTGGGGCATATGGGAACTATCATTTTTGCAACTT